GCTGTACAGAACGGTACTACAATACACAGCAGAGGCGGCTGCAACCAGACCACTGCCCCTGGTCTCGGACAACTGAGGCCATGAAGCCAAATCCGTATGCTACAAAGCCGTATACTGACTAAAAAAAGCATAGATATATCGAGCTGAAACAGTATACAGCATTTTCTGCCGTATAAAGCACATGCTGTCCACTATTTCCTATTGACTTGTCAATACAGCAGCACACACCGCAGGCCTTTTTTAACTAGGGACGAATGACAAGTGCCCAACAATGTACTGGTAAGAACATGGGAGAAACTGCCACTGTTCCCTCTTTTGCATCCACGCTAATCTAGACTTTAGCTAAAGGAAACGGTACTTAGGCGCCTTAATTCTCTGTGTGAGGCCCTGAACTCTAGATCCTATGCTTTGGACCCGCACTAGGCCTCCGAGCGCTCGCAAAGGTGAGGAGGATCATTTAAACAAATTCTGCGGCCAAACCCACTAGGAAAAATGTTGCTCTTTCACGAGAACGAGCATTCGAGAGGGTTCGGCCCGAGCAAGAACGAACCGCCAGTTCAAAAATAAGCATGGGAAGCAGATTTGCACACAGCTCTGGATAGGAAAATCTATAGGAAAAAATGGTATTTGACTCAAGCTGCAAAGTTTCTGAGGATTCAGCAGTAGCTAACTAATCCAGTCAATTATTTCAGACTTATCTAGTTCTATGGTCTTTATGCTACCGGAGGTGTATCCTTAAGAACGCTGTTCATCTGGAGATACAGGACGCCTCATAGCAGCCTAAGAAATCTTTTATGCTCATATGTGAAGTTGTACTCGTTCTACATAAAGGGCAAGCATAGCACTAAGAAGCCACTGAGCAAGTCAGCCCACACTCTCAGTGCATTTTGTTTGCGCTACAGCGTGCCAAAAGCCAGGAACTTTTGGCGGAATCCCATCCTTGCCGATCACATGCCAATGTTGAAGTGCGATGCTGTACAAGTGGTACGGCTAGCTCGTGTCTGAAGCCTTAAGGGACAGGGAAAGGCTTCACTTTGTAAAACCTCCAGTGACGCCCGTCCCTACACGAAGGCCATTATCAGAGAAGGTGCGGATTATTTTCACACAACATGCATGAAAAAATTGCAAAACACGCGAACGCACTAGATACAAACGCCTTAACGCTGAATGGGGAACTCTAATGCTGATGCTTTATAGAGGACACACGCTCAACACGACTGGATTTTCCTCATTTTATATTTAATCTTGCTAATCACCAGCATAATATGCCTTCCTCCTCGATTGTGGTCTTATTTCCCTAACTGTTGCCTAGATGCCGCACATTCTAACTCACAACGTCATGACCTCTCTAATTAGCCACCTACCTATAGATTTATGTTTGCCTCCATATATAGCATTTTGATCGTTTAAGCACGTGCTTGGTGTGTGTTTATTTAACTTTGTTTCTCCTTCTATATATATTTCCTCATGCTTAAAATTTTTTGGCACAAATATATCTTTATTATGTTTTATTTTTTTTTTCAAATTTTGGCAAAATTTTCCCCAATTTTCAGTTATAGGTGTTGGCCTTTTCCATTTATTATTTGCGCGCCTATTTTACTTCCTTCCCTTTACTAGCTTTTTCGTATAATGAACTTATATGTTCTCCTTCCCTTGAAGCTATTCAGTCTATTAGATCTCCATACAAAACGGAACCCCTTCTCTCGTTATGTACAAGAGGATGCCTTGGTGTCAGCCCACTAATCTTTCAAATCATTTACACTATTGGTAATTTACAGTAGAAAAACTCTAAACGTTGACCCCTAATGACCAGGCGTGAGTGCATGTGAGATACACACAACGAAGAGTCCATGGTAGGGCTGATGAATTACATATTAACACTGACAACTGGACAGATCAGGATACAGAGAATTGAGTATACCTTCAGAAAACCCAAGACTTTTTGAAAATGCAAAATGCAGAACAACCGCAGGAAAGAGACGAATGCAAGAGATAGACAAAAATCAGACAGATGGGGAAACAAGCAAAAAGAAAAATGATGAAGAGAAGATACCGAGGCCCGAGGAGTACAAAAAAAAATAATTTAAAGCCACGCATAGCTTTATGATAGTCAAAACCTTGGCTGAGAATTGTCCGTTCTCATGCGTTCATTTTTGTCCCTATGTCGAGTTTGCTGCTGGTGTTGCTGCAACGCCTGGGGTTTCCGCTTCGCTGCAGTAGCAACGCTAGCGCAAAAGCCAGATACTGCCGTTCTACCTTTTCTAAAAATGAGAGCGAAAATTCCCCTTATCGCAGAAGCACCGCTTGCAGCTTCTGCCTCTGCTGTCGGATAGGGAAGTTGTGAGCGCACAACCGTAAGCGGCATTTTAAGCCCAACTCTTCGCCGCCGCTTATTTAGCACTCTAGAGTGGAAAAAGCTTCGCTACATTCAGTTCCTTCATCAAACCTTGTGCTTGCCAAAACATAAGAGCTTGGCTCCGGGGGTGGAGATTAATTGTATTTCTTTGCTCTAATCAGTTCAAAATGTGAAATCTATTTCTGAAACCCGTGGCCCTTAATCCGAGATCCGCGGTCCAAATCGTACCTGTACGGGCATTTTGCATGGATTCGTTTGCTGTCTTGAAGGGTAATGGCTCTCTTTCTACAAAGCTTAAGCCTCGTTGAATTTCCCACCCGGCAAGTTCCTCCTACTGCATACGTTGAAGCTGTGGCTCCGAGTATGCATTAGCATATGCCGCTCCCCTTCTAGGGTTGCTTTTCTTTTGCTTTTCTTGCCATCAACATTTTTCCTCTCTGACTTCTCATCTTTATTGTTCAGGTGGCATGTTCACTTTCCATTGCTCGTATTGCCAGTGAAGTGCACACGCCGCAGTCGCAGCAGTGTATAAACTTGTCACAAAGGCAACAACAGCAATAGCAGTAGCAGCAAAGATGGGCAGTCAAAACAAATTTTAATGTTTTGGTCCCTTACTGTATTTCTTTTTATCAAAGACACGTGCTGCGACTTTGCGCACAAACAGTAGCACGCTATGAGGGGCGGCTGTTGGTGCAATAGCAGCATCGAGATAGCACACGCAACGGCATGTTGCATATTCACATTAAATAATTAGCTGATCCATGGCCAGAAGGATACAAAAATGCAGCTGCAGCCAAAATTTGCGCAGCTGTACCTAATCCAGCACATAGCAGCAACTGCAACCACAGCACACTCACCGACATGTTGCAGCCTCACAGCAAACAATTAGTTGAATTACGGCCGGAATCAAAATGCAGCTGCAGCCCAAATTTGTGCAGCTGTGCCAAACCCAACAAAAAGACGCTAGCTATTTAGCCGCCTAGCTGGCTAGATATCTATATCTATTGCTACTGAACCAGCCGGTGTCGGCGGAGGGACCACGTAAGACTCCACCGACAAAAACTGGGCTGTCCAGAAAAAGCAATTATTCTGCAAAGAAAAAACAATCGCAAAGTTTGAGCACTACATCCTGGTTTGTCTACACGATAGCAATGTTCCGGCATCCACGCTTTATCCGTTTACCTTAATTACTTGCATTTACTCTAAACTACTGAACGTTGAGAGTCTGAACCGTAAACACTAGACTTGCATATGAGGCACTGGAAGTCAGCATCAGGGCTTGTTATGTCACATTCAAAAAGATACGAATCAAAGACAAGTTCTACGGTTTATGTTAACTAAACTCTTTGCTGCTGGAAGAAGAGACCCAATGAAGCAAGCAGGAGATTCAAACAAAACATGAGCCAAGAGAGAAACGCGCGAAAGAGGATATGACGGATCAAAGAAGAGGCCAATAAGGGTTAAGCGAGATTAGAAGAGATAAAAGGGTACGGAATCCAAGAGAACAAAACCAACCATCACACGAGACAGAATGAGAAGGCGAAAATCGTATATCAACACTTACTAGGGGCCTTAGGTTAGAGCCTGCCTTTGGGGGAACAGCGAAGAGCTTAAATTCGTGTTTCTGTCCACTCAATAACTGCTCTTTCTCATCGACTGAGCTGTATGTGCCATCTGCTTCTTTGCGCTTCAAAACTGCAAAATAGCTCTTGCAACCAGGAGCCAAAGCGCTGAAGCAGAAGAGGAGACATGGGCAAAAAAGAGACACAAAGCAACTCGCACAAATAAAAATGTGACGAATACAGCTGCGGAGAAAGGAGCTTACAAACACGCACGGTGCAATCGCAGCAAAAACAGGTGCAGTACTGAGAGCGGCAGCAGTAATAGCAATGGTAGCGGCATCAGCTGCATCAGGCTGTTCAGTATTTTCTCTTCGTGTCTAGATTACTAGACGCCCGAAGAAGCAAGCAAAGCAATCCCGCAGCAAACGGTTGTTTTTTGAATTTGCTCTGCGGCATTGTCGTTGAGGGTTTACCTGCTCCTTAGCAGTTGTGTGAAGTGCCTGTTAAAGTGCGCTGCAGTTGTCTTGGGGTACATCTGCACGTGCTTTAACATGGTTTTCTGTGTTTGCCTGTGTGTCTCTTTCAAGCGTATAAAGGGGCCGTTAATGCTGATCCAAATAGATTGCAACCCACTAACTGCCGCAATAGGAGCAAAGTAGAGGACACAAGAAATGCGCATGCGCACTTGTATGTAAACGCACACATGGGTATACATACATAATTCATATGAATAATATAAGACGTCGTATTTTGCCTATGCGGAATATATTTTGCATTCATATATAAGGGCAATAGACACGCATGTATGTACTTGTGCATGCACGTGCGTATTTATAAGAAATGATTGTATGCACAAATATTTTGCATGTATGCATAATATGGAACAGTGAAGCCTTTGACTGATACTATAAATGCCTGTAATTTTACTCCTACAGAAACATAGCAATGTATTCACAGAAATAAGTACCCAACAGTCAGGAGAAAAGTAGTCATGCAGTTACTTTCATGTAACAATACAAATATCCACAAGTTCAGAACCGCTAAATAATATTCCACACAAGCAATGCATCTATACATGCGCATCATGCATTCGAGCTTCGCTTGCGCCTGTGCTTACTCTTCGGAGTGTTTGCAATTTTTATTTCCTTCTCTACTACTTCTCTTATCACGTTCTTGGCAATAGCCTCTTCTGTTGCGTAGCGTCCCCAAGCAAGAATAGACTCAGGTACGTCAGACAATACGCTATCCACTGTTGCCGCGGACCCTACACAAAGGCGCAGTAGCAGAAACACCAGAATATGTCAGACATATGCATTGTAAATGTGTAGACAAAGTTTGATTTCATTGCCATTCTACTTATTAGTCCAAATCGGTATTTGAGGCAAGTACGAATAAAACGCATAGAAGTGTGGTCACAATAAGAAACACACAAGAGGCAAAAATGGGAGAAACAGACGAATAGCAAATCTATATTTGCGCACTGCGGCTTTTTCTCATGCTCTTCAGCGTCTCGCTAGCGACGATGCCGAGTTGCCGTTTGGCTGCGGTGAAAACAACTGCTCTTTTGAAGTTCAGAACGGACAAGTTAAACATTGTCTCAGTATACTCCGGTCTTTCTTGATGGTTTCCAAACGCAAAGGGGACATAGTTGTCCCTTTGCATTTCCGTCATAATTTTCGTATATATATCCCGCAGATTTGAATTCTCAGGCAGCGCTGCTGCTGCTGTTGCTGCTGCTGACGCTGCCGTTGTTGCAGCAACTCCAGCAGCAACAATGCACAAGCGAGACACAGCACGATCCACTTGCAAGTGCAATAAAGACAAAGCGTCCTCCGTCCTCCCTGCACCGATAACACAAAGGGTGAGAAAAGCACTAGCAACGACGCCAAAAGCAGCAGCAGATGCTCTCAGGCTTGCTCGTTTGCGAGAAGAGAGATAAAAGCGGATAGATATGAAAACAAACACGGAAGCATTGAAATTAAGACAACAGTGAATAAAGAAAGGTAGTAAATACACATAAGATAGAAGATGGAAGGGATAAGAGGACGCAAAACATGACACGAAAAAGCAAGAGAGGGGCGGCAAATGCTCACATGCTGCTTCCATGTGGATGGGTGTGACCACATCGCGTAAGTGTACAGAGACTTGCTCTTCTGGAGCCCCGAAATCAAAGAGGGCTGCTGAGACACCCCATGGAGGTCCGTAGTGAGTTTCGCTACTTATTTGTGTTACTTGCTGCCACACGCAATGGTGCAGCAGCTGCTTTTCTACTGCAGCGACAACCTCTCCTGCCGAATATTTTGCATGTATAGAAGCTCCAGCAGGATCCCGAGAAACGCAACGGCGAACAGCCAAGCGAATAAGGCGGTCAGCAGAGGCCCAAGCAACGTAAGAGGTAAACACCCTGGAAATTCGGAAAGCGAGGAAAAACACGAGCCACAAATACAGTAAGAAACGAAAAAGCATTAAAAGGCAAAAGCGATGAGGCAGAGACACAAAACCAATAGCTTGCAAAATACCGACAAACAAGAGATGAAGTAAGAGCAAATAAAGTAAGAGCGGACCGAGACGAAAGCAAATGCCTCAGAGATATTTATCAATAGACGACACGCATGGGAAGAAAACAAAAAATGATGTCAGCCAAGAGGTAGCAAGAAAGAAAATAGAAAAGTGGCAAAGATCGGAGAGGGAAACAGAAAAACAAAAACAGCCAGGCAAAATATAGGACAGAAACAGAGGTAAAACGCAGGAGAGAGACATACAGGATCAGGATACAATTTTCCCTGCCCGAAGAGACCAAGACAGACAGAGCCAAACAAAGCAGAGTATACACAAAAACGGATTAAAACGGCATGGAGAAACAAAGAGAAAAAACGGTGACCCAAAAAGGCGGCGAGTGACTAAAAGCGGAAGGGAAAAAGACGATAAAGAAGCAGTGAGAGCCAGCAGAGACACAAACGGAATGATGTCAAATCCGTTACTGACCTGTCTTTGAAATATGCTAGTATATCGCTGTCTCTTCCATCAGCAATCCCCACAGACTTTAAAATAAATGCAATCGTGCTTTCCGATGGCGTCTCCTCTACTAGTTGAATATAAGGGTCGATGAGCAACTGCCGCTCTATGTACAGATGAACGGACCTCGATATCAACAAGTTGGCAGCAGACACTACAGCAAACGCAAGCAAGAGTAGAACCATGCTCCAATGCTTATCCCTTACAGTTCAGGGAAAGAGAGGAGTAGAAGCAAAGGGTTATGTGTCCTCTCTGGAAGGCATCAGGGTTTAGGCGTTAGCTCTTCTAGCTTACTCTTTCTGTCTATAATCTGCTGTTGCGTTATTACATTGAGTCCCTCCATGTCTACCCCGAAGACCGCATCAATTAATTCAGCATAACTTTTATCTTTCATTTGTCCCTCTTGCTGCTGCAGCAACGGCCAGTGCAGCAGCCGCGGCAGCTTTTCTTGTGCTTCTGCCACTTCTACTGCCTTAGGCAGCGTAGTAAGCCTCATGATTGTCGCAACTGGGATTGGCACTACACAGGATGCCACGGCCTCCCGAATTGGACTCCAAGTTGCTGCAGCAGAAAAAGCAAGCAGCATCATGCAGCTGGTGCCACTGTTGCTGCATTTGCTGCAGCATGTTTTACTGTATTAACACAGGCGCTGCTGCTGCTGATTCTATTGTGCTGGTACTTCAGAAGCAGCATGAGCAGCAGTAAAAAGCGAGCCTTACCAAGTTCTAGCAGCGCCCTAAGTGTCTCTGTGGCCTGTTGTCTTCCCCTGGCAGTTCCTACTTCTATACTGCGTGTTCCTGCCTTAGAAAGAGACAGACGCAGAAGTACTGTCCCCTGTGCCTGCCGTAGCAGCTGCTGCGCCTCCTCGACTGGCCGTTCTCGCACTGCTTCCAAAGCACGGGCCACTGAGGAAAAAGCAGGCACATAAATTATCAACTTTTGCAGCTGCTGCTAACACCGTTAGAATGGTAGCGCTGTTGTTCTTGTTGGCGATCTACTTAGTGAGGTTGGCGCTGCTGGAGAAGCAAAAGTCGGAAATTAAGTGCAAAATTAGACTAAAAATGGGGAAAATTTCATGGGCGTTGCTAGCAGCAGCATCTACTAGAGTGTCTCGTCTTGCTAAAAAGGTCGCTAAGCCAAGACCAATGTTCAAGGGCTTACCTGCAACGAATGCGAAAGCGTTACTGGCAGATATTCTGATGACAGGATTGGTCTCAATCATTTGCCTTATTTTAGTTTTGATCAAAAAAGGCATGTTTGGCAAATACAATTTCTCCATTTTGCCTCCGGGTTCCACGCAACGGTTTAAGCTTTTTCGTATTTCTTGTGTGAAGACCTGGGGGCCCCACTGTCGTCTAATGTCGACAAAGTCCAAGCTGACCCCTTGCAAAAGAAGGGGACGAATGCATCTCTCGGTCCACACAAAGCGTCTAGTATGACTAAGAGACATGGTCCAAGCAACTCCAAGGGTCAATCCCAGGGCGTATACGTCGTAGGAAGCAAGGTAGGGAAGCTTTGACACAATACCTCCTTCCTGAGGTACAGCAATTGACTGTGTAGGGCTAGGTGGCTCCTTCGCGCACTCTACCTCAGGAGCCGTGAAAGCAACCGTCCCTCTCAAGGGACCTCTTTGACCCAACGGAGCTATCAAGCCAAAGTCAATGGCAACAACCTCGATGCTGAACAACAAGCCACAATGCAGGGTTTGAAGTTTGGAAGGCTGTACCGTTCCCCCTTTGTGGTAGAAATGGAAGACTTCACGGTCTAGGGATTATAGTGCAGAGAAGCAGGAATATAGGGTTTGTAACAAGAAATGGTGGCCAGCGGACACAGGTGCAGTGTTTGTATCCACTGTGTTGGAATTTAAGGTTAGAAGTCAGGGGCTTATTACGAGCGATTTTTCTTGAAGACCATATTGGAAGGTTTTATATCAAAGTGTCCCAATGAGAAGAAGTTGTGCAGATAGACAACAGGGCTGATCATTTTGGCGGAGACAGAAAGGAGAGAGTATTTGTCATTTGCTATCTCCCTCAGATGTGACTTCTTTTCTGCAGCGGCTTTTATTTCATTTGCTTCTGCTGGTGTGTGTTCTCTTGCTGGTTTGCTCCATATGTCCAATCTAGACCCGTTATCTGGGCGTTTCAAACGCGTCTGAGGAGAGTAACAAATGAACAAAACGTATATGCATAAGGAGACGAAACGTGGGGGAAGAGACAAAGTATAAGATGAAAGTAGACAAATAAGAAATATGGGAGGACTAAAAAGGGATGTGTGGATAACACCGACGGGTGAATGACGAAGGCGAAGCGATACGAATTAAAGATAAAGCAAATGTGCTAAACGAAAAGACAAAGCAATGCCCCAATTAAGAACGAATACGACCACAGGGGGTAAATAACAAAGGCATAAGGTGAAAAGGCAAAAGAGACGAGGCAGAGGAAGAACAATTAATGCTAACGCAAGTAACGGCAGCACCACCAACAGTACTGCGACGGAAAAGCCAGCAACGGCAATAACTGAAACGACGACAATCAAGGCTGGTCATATTGTCAGCAGCAACAACATTCAGCAGCATGGAAATAGTTTTAGCGGCAGCTGCAACAGGAGTAGCAGTAGTTGTGTAGTCTGACGTCGAAGTCTCCTTCGTAGATTTTGATGAGAGTTCCCCAAAGCTGTCCACCATTCTCGTGCCTAACTAAGACTCGAGCGATGGGAAGGGCCAAGCCAAATAATTCCCCAGCAGCAAAAAGAATAGTCAACAGGTCTCCTCTGAGATTTTCTGCGAACAAAAGCGGACAAAATGTGGAAAAATTTAACCCGAAGCTTGGCTTAAGCAACATGGCTTGGCGCAGCTGCTGCAGCGCCAGCAGCAGCAGCAACGGCAACTGTTGCTCTAGGAACAACGCTCTGTTCTAAACAGAAGCTACCTGTATGTGCCTGCTGAGAACTGCTTTGCATCAGCAGTATTAGCCAGTGGCAGCAACAGAAAGAGCAAAAGCGCTAAGAAGAAGCAGCGGTAGCCTTTACACCTACTAAACTCGACAGCCAACTGTATGAGGGACGACAGGCGTGTACAGCAGCAACATACTGCAGCCACAAGAACACTGGCTGTACGGAGTCGCAGCACCAGCAGCACCGGCAGTGCGTATGTCTATTACCTTGAATGGCATCGTAGAGCTTTCTGTCAATTGTTTTTAGATTCACAAGCATTTTGTGCACAATTAACGCTGAATATTCCACGTCAACTATGAAATAATGGCAGTTTATTGCTGTTTCGAAAAGTCTAGAGTTTTCAACAAATGTTTCATCAGAGATCATTTGCTGCTCCTGCAGATGGCGCAGCAAATCTATCTGTGGCTCTGTTTCCAAAGCATCCCGAATCGCTGTGACCACCAGTTCGTTGTTTACTTCCACGCCTCTGAACACACAGTGTAACCGGGAAAATGCATAAGAACGGAAGTGCACAGGACGTGGTGCAAAATCACCAAATGAGAGCACTGGCAGTACGTCCGACTAAATATCTGAAAAATTTGCTTTTTGTCTATTTTGTTCACTATACAGCTAGGTGGGTCTCTAGCTTTCAACTGACATACAAGTCTATAAATAAATAGGCAGCCGGCTCCGTGGCTGGCTATGGGTCTATCATTAGCTATGCCGCTAACTTGATAGTTAGTTAATACATATTTAATTAACCGGTTGCCTGCATCCTTAGCTTTCTAGCTGCTCATCTGGATAACCGTCTACATTTTTGCACAACTGAGCGCTTACTTGAGTACATCAAGAATTTTTTTGAGCTTGTTTTGGTGGAACTTTCTGTAACCGCCTTTCAGTGCATCGAATATGTCTTCAACAGCAGCCTTCCTGTATATCTTGACCCCATATCTTTCGTGTGCTGCTTCTTTTCCTGCTTCTGCTGCAGCGCCTTTTCCTTTGGATGAGGACACTAGTGATGCTGCTGAAATAATTTCTGCACAGCGTCCCAGCTGTTGGGATTTTTGTGTCAAAGGGAAAACAGCTCCAAAACTGCCCTGCCCCATTTTGGGTCCCAAATCAGCAGAAGATATACGGCACTCAGGCAGAAACTTAGACGCAGAATATATATCAGCCATAGATTCTGCTAGATGTTTTTTAGCTTGTGCTTCTGAAAAGCCCTTTAGTCGTCCAGGTAGGTGTTGCAGAAGAGGGAGTAAATCTGCAGAAAAACATACACCCTAAACCCTTGGCCCTAAGCACTCGTGGCCAACCGACGCGGCACAGAACAAAGGCTGTCAACCGTATGCAATTAGCCTGAGATGCCTCAAAGAGAAGTTTTAATTAAGAAAGTTCAAAATTTTAAACCCTAAGCGTCTGATGTTGTCGCCAGATATAAAACCCTTTCCCGCAAACCCAAGTTGTTGTGATTGACTACAAAAGCCCAAGCAGAACACAGACTAATAAAAATCTGAAGTGCTAAATGGTCTCAACTTTGATATTAGACGTGAGGATTTACTATTCTTCAGTTTTTCAACTGCCTGCATCGCTAGAGTTTTTAGCTCCAGGAGCGACACAGGGGTCCCTGGCTTCACGTCCACATATTTTTTGGCAGATCTTATTTGACTCTCTTTGTCTTCAGCCTTTGTATTTTGTTGGTCTTGCAACGTAATGTGGAGAGATGAACTACGAAGACCTCGGGATCTTGTAGGCAAAGGGCGTCCTGTTCCTGCTGATGTTGCTACGGTTGCTGCAGCAGCGCTGCTGCTGTCCACACAGCAGAAAAGACAGACCGCTAAAAGAGTGACAAAATGCATGGGAAGCGAACGGCGCCAGTAGCAGTTGCTGCCGCTGCGCTGCTGCTGGTGCTGATGCTGCAGCGGCCTGCACGAAAAGCCTCCTGTTGCCAGCAAAGCAGCCCGCTGCAGCTGCAACCGATGTCCTCTCGGCATCATTAACTGAGTCGTTTGCTGCTGCATCTGCTGAAGATGCTGCTGCCGTTGCTGCTGTTGCTGCTTCTGCCGCTGTGTCTGTCGCCGCTGCTGTTGAGCACCACTGGTCAGGCTTGAGGCGCTGGAGGCGGCCGCAAGGCCGAAAGCTGAGAACAACATGGCGACTCCAATTCCCTGATGTGTCGCATGCTTAGCATTAAGGCCTGATAGAATCCTGGTGAACGTAAAGTTTAAGCTCGAGACCTTAGACCCCAGACCTCGCTGTTCTTTAGACGGGGACACTGGTGCGAATCGAGCAGACCATTATACAGGTCCTTCAGCCCACTAAGCCTTTAAGCCTGAGACCAGAATGCTACTGAGCATTCATAAGAAGTCCAGAGATATAAAAAGTATTCAACAGCAAAGAAACTCAGCAGCTGTTGCTGCCGCAGGAGATGGTTGAATGAGCTCGACAATTGGGGCGCGCTCCATTTCCCCTTTTCAAAATCTGGGTTTTGTGCTAGGCGCTACTATGCAGCTCCAAACGGCAATAAATTCCATTTTAAAGAATAATCAAATCATGTTGTCAGCGGTTCTTGAGGTGTGCTGGTGTGCAGGTGGTCAAGGCCGCCGACGCACGGGCTAAGACCCAGGGCCAGATTGAGTCACTGCGTGGCTTGGCGTTTTACTTTAGGGGTTGCTCCCTGTTTTTCGTACCTGAAGAAATATAGATAATCATTTTGCATATTGTTTTTAATCAAGCGGTTTTGCAGTAGTCATAGGGGTATTAGATGGGAGCGTCTCAACAGTGTCTGCTTAAGTGTGCATAATTTTTTGAATTTCTAGCTACACGAATAATTTTCGAAATAGACATACATGTACTTGAAAAAAGAATTAGAGGTGGTCGAAAATGGCAAGGCAGTATCGAAAACCACCTCTAAACGAAGGACATTTCGGGCAAATTGAATTAACTCTTAAAGCAGCCGGATATATCCGGGATATGTACCATGGGCCTGAAGAAAAAGTCTTAACTTTCAAACGAATACAAATGTTTGTTTAGAATCAGGATTCGATGCAAATATGAAGACAATCGTAACTTCGATTTGGTGTTGTTCCTTGTGCGTGTGGCCTTCGTTTTTCTTTCTTTGCTCGTTGATCGGTTTTTATACATGCGTATGACCCTGAAGAAGAATACAACGACTACCGGCGAAAGTTTGATTATCGCAGGAAGTCGATTCGTCCGGCTTAAAGAGCAGATTAATTTCTTCTCAGAATGAAAATGTTATTCAGGTGTTGGTATTTGGGTTTATTAGATTTAATTGTAGTCATGGAATGCCTTTTGTGAAATTCTTCTCAGAATGAAAATGTTATTCAGGTGTTGGTATTTGGGTTGATTAGATTTAATTGTAGTCATGGAATGCCTTTTGTGAATTTTAATTGATGTAAGGACTACACTTCAAGAAATAGGCTAATCTGCAAGCTAGTCAAAGAAATGAAAGACTCGCTAAGTACAAAAACAGAAAGCACAGCTAAGAAGGCAGTGAAAAGGCAATCTGCTTTGATGTTGGATCGTTGTGTAGGGTCTGCAGCAACGGTGGCTAGCTTACTACCGTACCGATCTGAGTTTATTCATATCGTTTGGCAGTGTTACAAATCAGAAGAGGCTTTCGCTTGCAATGTGGTAAAAGACACAATAGAGAGAAATAAAAAATGCAGAGATTCACAATGCTAGGCGCATGCGTAAAAGCAGCTTAATTTCATAATTCGCACAAAAACTTCCGTGTTGTGGAGCATTATTTAGTAATTCTGATTTGTGCGTATTTTTGTAGTAACACTTGAGTAGCTGCGTGGAGAGTTTGATCCTGGCTTACCGGGTTATTGCGCTTGTCATTTTTCGTTTGTACGAGTCATAATGTAAGCACTGTCAGTGTTTCATGAAGGATCATGCGCTGTTGCATGTCGTGAATACATGCGCACAAATATTTATGATTACAAGCACCGTATAGACACACGTGCATGCACAAACACATGCACGTGCCCAACTTGCAGTCCCTCAATAAGCAGGGAAACCATAGCTGGAACGTTTTCACATGGCCAGGAAGGGCAGCGGTAATTGGCTTTTTATATGTGATTCTCATGGAGTCAAAGAAGCGGCCGGATTTTCGCAGCAGCCTCTGCTATTCGCAAAGATCGCTCAGGTCTCTACGAAGAATGATCAGCATTTCTTTGCCTCCAATATGAGGGGCAGCATCTATTAATTCAGGTTGAGGAGGCTGCCCCTCACGCCCTATTAATGCTTCGAAAGCAACTTGAACAAGCTTGTTCTACTGTACCGTCCTCACATTTTCTTTTACATTGCTTGCTGCGCGCGTTTTATTGAAATGCATCAAGGAGGAATCAGACATTAAGGACGAATGCCTAATTCTGCTGCCACGAGACCCCCTCACTAGTCTTCACACAACCAGGTAGCCATAGCAATTGCCTCGACATTCGTTGCTGTGGCTATAACACTTCATATGCTTTGCGTTTCCCCAAAAGCTCCGACGCCCAGCATGGCGGAAATAAACGATTTGCGTGAGGAAATTCGGAAACTGGGGCACGCATATCTTCTAGATGCGGTGGATACGTAGTCGCAGGTTTTTCGAAGCAGAAAATGAGGTGACTGCTGTGGAACTCGCAGTGCTCGGGCTTGCTTGCCTGTGCTTCTGCTTCAAAGTATGGATTGCGGGAAGCCTGGTATTTTCGGTAAGCAAAAGCCCATGCTTGGAGCGATGGCGGGATTTCAGTGGATGGCGTGGAGCGAACAAGGGCACTTTCTGAAAACTTGGCCAACAATGGTGTTCTTTGAACTCTTTAAACCCTTTAAATGGTTAGACGATGCGTTTACTGATTGATATCATGTCTGAGCCTATGTATTCACAGCAGGATATTCACTTAGGAGGTTGGCGACTCATAACGCGCTGCAATCCACGACACCTTTTAAAAGTTGAAAATTCGGTACACGTAAATTTGTATGTCGATTATTCAAGTATGTTTCCATTTCAAAGGATTCAAAACGCCAGCAAATCAAGTGCTTCGTGGGCCAATCGTATCGCAATATAAAGTCAGAACTGACAAGTCATAATAGGCAGTCACCCTAAAAACATTCACGCCAGCACTGCATCGTTAGTCCCGCAACTGTTCTTTCGATATGCAACATCTTTCCTCTATACATAGTGAAATCACTTTTCTAAATGTGGTGCACGCTGGGCTCAAGTCCATCTACACCAGTCGAATCGGCAACTGCACTTAATTCACTGAAGCTTCAGGGGACTTCAGAGAATGACCACCAACACTACAAATCAAAGGACTGGAGTAATACGCGTGCTGCGCAGTATGCGCAGTACACTCCAGTCCTGACATACTGGCAGTTCACAGAGATCCTTGCACTAGCACTGAAGCACACATTGTACTACTGCAGAAGGCTGGCACTTTGACTTAGGCTGTCCTGCCATTCAGCCCAGCTACTCCTTCCCCTCGTTTCTAGCATCTCTGGCTTCATTTTTGATCCTCGATCAGCCTCATAACAACTGCCAAAAGGCGTCATGGGCGTTGGTGTTCAGTCCATCTCTTCTCTTTCTTCCCGTGTAGCTCTAACTGTCGCTTCTACTTAGGGGAAGCATGGAGTGTTGGATAAAGCTGCCACAGCGCACACTACTTCTTTGCCTTTCACACCGAAGCTATACTTGACTGCTTACTGAATTCATTTCTTCCAGTGTGCGACGTCGTTCCGATGTAGCTTGTTTGCCTCTGGCAAGCGGGGCCCGATCATGAGCAAAGTTTCCCATGCTCTCTAATCATCTGTATGCTTTCATCTTTTATAGTATCGGTCTGTAAAGTCTGTTCACGCCGGTGCCGTGTCTCTTTGTTAAACAAGTTTCTAGACAGGTGTCTGATGTCTATTGCATTGACACTTGAAGCAGGGGCTTCTTGTGTGAGATCTCTCCACACCCTTGCCGGTTTTCCTACGCTTTTGCTGAGCTATTCATATTCCTGGTTCCAGAAGCCGGCGCACAGGCTGCAAGGCAAAACGCCTGCGTCATGCACTCACCACTTTGCGACCCCGCGAACTCGCATTCATTCTTTTGGCAGTAGCCACATAGTGCCACGAGGACTACGATGAGCTGTAGTGTGAGCGAGCGCTGCCTCGTCAGAAAAGCCCATTTTAAAATAATCCATCAGCTTCTATGTACGAATTGGCTCAACGTGGTCTGGCAAAAGGAAGACTCTGTTGCAAATTGAGCAGGTTCCCACTTTCGTTGAATTCTTCACACGAGCCCTTATGGGCACATCATCACCTACCCCGACTGCATTCTTAGCGAGCTTCGCTTAGACTGTGACTTCTTAACAAATAGCACCGGCATATCCTTTCTCGAAAGTACGATAACGGCAATGTGCCGTCATAAACAGCAAAAAGGCATTTGACGATGGCTCTCGAGGCGGGCGTTCTGGCCCGAGCTCTTGAACGTGCCGCGCCCCTACACTGACATCGTTCAATATATCATGCACAGAAGTGCATTGTACCTCACGCACATCAAAAAATGCTTCAACTCTTGAAGACGCCTATATTGGATGGTGGCATTTCTTCGGCAATTCCATTTCATCGCCGAGCTACTCCCACGCTGATGCTCCCCGCTGCTTTCCCCTTTTCGTGGGAGTTGTTCACTTTTCTATATTACCATTTCAACCACATCACCTTTAGCCAGTCATACTCTGTTGCTCTGAGATTGCACCTATACCATTGTTCGAGCTACGGTGTGGAACAGTGCAGCCAGATTCCGCATCCAGCTCAGCTCACGATTGTTTTTTTGTGTATACCATTTCGTGTCCTTGCATCGATGTAGCCGTGAGTAGCCATTTATACAACCTTCCCAAGCTTCCATAATAGTATGTATCTGCATATATTCCATACGGAAGAAGGAGCACAACCATCCGACCTCGTCCACGTGCTGCTTCTCGCAGCGCCTACTCCGTGCCTTTTGAGCGGCTGCTGCGACACTAATTTGCCGCAAATTTTCCGTAGATTTCTCTTGCCATTTCACAAACTAGTGAGATCAGCAGGGTCCACACAATTATTCCCCGTAGGAACGCACTGTTACCTGCTGTTTGTTAGGCCACAAAGTTTCCACAAAGCTTCCTTGGAGTTTTACTCGTTCCCATGGCTTGTTACCACGCTGGATCATGCCGCTCAGTCCTTTTATGGAATAATTTTGGGCACGGCGAAGCAGCCTCGAAGCGTTCGCCTTTAACATTGCCTGCTTGCATTCTACTTCGCGAAACGAGGGCACAGACTGTATGCTTCTTTGTACTGTAACTACTCGTGCAGCCACGCTTTCTATAAAGTTACAGAAGTTAGCTTGTTTAGAGGCTGTCAGTGAGCCTATAGGCCTTCTTGGGTGTTGCTGTGCCTCTGGGCAGATGCGTAGGAACTCTCTAAAGATAGATGTGGGCGCACTCCCCCCACGCCACAGCAAGCCATGAACTGCGACTTCTACTCTGTTGGACTAAAAATAGGGCTCTTGTTATATAAATGGGCACATCCCACCCATTTGCCGGCTTGAAAGCCGTTTTTGGCTTGACTTTCTTGCCCAACCTCTGATCCGGCTCGCCTAGAGTGCTGTATGGAGCCTTTACTCCTACTACTAGCTTTGCAGATTGCATCCTTCACATCTCTAGCGCCTCTATCTTTACCTCTCAGTGCAGTCACGCATTCGTTCCCCACTTTTGGGTACTTTTCTGCGTCAGAAAGAGCCAATAATAAATACTGGCTTCCTCGCGAGAACCGGAAAGATTCAAAACGTTTCGAAGTCAAGAACTCCAATTCGCTGTCTTCTTTGCATATGCAATGCTGCCTTATAATCCCTAGCTCGCCCAACTTATCCCTTTATGGATTTTATAAACCCAGGGATCCAAAAATGGGTACTTGAAACAACTTGAAACTTTCGCGAGATTTGGTCACCGGCGACCTTCTTCTCAAGTTAATGATGGAGAGCTTCTTTATAAAGCCCAGCGGGCTGGAGAAATAATTTAGCAATAAGTAAATCTTTGTAAGTATTTCTTAGCGAGAATTTAGCAGTGAGAAAACCCCAATGATATATTCCATATTGCCGAACCCGATGAGGTCGGTTGACTCAAGATGTAGGCAGTCCTGGTTTGTTAACAATATCTATAGTAGTACTCAGTACTTTGTCAACATATCTATAATAGTACTCAGTACTTAGCCATTACTTGTTCTTTTTACTCTTCTAAAAGTGGAGTCTTTGGAGGTCTTGTGCTATTTTTTCTCCAAAAACAATGAAGACGCGGCTGCGTGCTGCCTGTGACTTGCGTCTAACGTTTCACTTTCAAGTGAACCTCAATCTCTTTGTTTTGTCTTTCTTTTCTTTGTATTCATTCTAAAATCGAACTCCCTTTTGCTTCTTTTGCTGCTCTTTCCCTGTCTTCGCGAAGCCGTCTTGAGTGCAACTACTTCCCACTTCAGTGGACCACTGGTCACGCCCTTCGGCAAGTCCGTCTACTTAGACTATTCTTCTTTGACCAGTGGTCACGCCCTCAGCGAAATCCCAACTTTTCACTACTTTTCGTTGGCCACTGGTCACACCCTCAGCAAAATCCCATCTTTTAAACTACTTTTCGCCAGCCACTGGTCACGCCCTTGCTAAGGTTCTAGCTTCTAAGCTATTTTTTGTTGACCACTGGTCACGCCCACAACGAAATCCTAGCTCTTGAAATCTTTTTTTCGTTGACTGCTGGGTCAGCATTACTTTTAGACTTTAAAATCCAAAGTTTGTGATACACATATCATATCACAGAAGACTGCTGAGGTGTGCATACACCTCAGAGTGCCTTCGCTCAAGTGAGACAAGTGCACATTCACCTGAAACCCTCAGTCCAAAACCCTAAACCCTAAACCCTCAGGCCCTGCGGGTGCGAAAACGCTCAGAACCACAGCAGCTGCAGCCTGGAGCTGCAGCAGCAGCAGCAGCAAAAGAAATTGTTGTTGCTGCTACTGCTACTGCTGCTGCTGCTGCTGCAAGAGCCTACTAGATGCCTACGCCGTGCTGCTTCCACCAGCCAGTCTTTTCTAACTGTTTAGAACTGGCTAGTTAACTAGTTCTAAATAGCTTTTCTTGTAGGAATCCACTGCAACTTTTTTTTCAAATATGCATTGGCCTCTGTGGGGCACCTCAGACAAACGAAGAGAAATGAAATGAAATGAAATGAAATAGTGAAACGCATGCAAACGCGCCGCGTCTGCGGTGTACATTCACCCCAAAACCCAAACAAAGAAAACTAAAAACTGTTTTCAAATGAAGCTTTTTCAAACTATGTGGCGCTCCAGGAAACTTATGAAGCGGCCTGCACACAGCGGGCAAAACAGAGGGTTTATTGTTTGTGGTTAGGGTTTAGGGTTTAGCGGATCAGGCTACGGTTGGAATTTAGAGAAGGCCAGCTTCGCTGACGCAAAAATTAGGGTTTAGGCTTTAGGGTTTGAGCTACGCATGCATTAGGGTTTGGGACTTGGAGTTTACTTGCGTAGAAGGCAGGGTTGACACAAGAAATGCCATAAGAGTCACAGGTCCTGCGAAAGGCGAAACACAAATTAGGGTTTGGATTAGGGTTTGGGGTTTAGGGTCTGGAGGTTTCTGCAGGTGGAAAAGGGTTTGCGGTGCACAGCCCATGCTAGCCAATCGGGATATACAGTTTAACTCCGGCGCTGGGCCTCAAACCCTAAACCCTAGGACCTAAACCCCCGTTCTTTTGGCGCGGAGCGTGTGGGTGAAAGCTAGGGTTTAGGGTTTGGGTTTTGCCTCACTGCACAACTCTTATGGCGTTTTCCGTTCTTTTAAAAGCCCCCCATTTTGTCAAAATGTCAATTATGCCAACATAATATAATTTGCTGCCGTCGCGGCTCGCCAAACCTCCCAAGTCCCGACGCCAGAAGGGCACATCTGCAGCGCGCCAAACCCTAAACCCTAAACCCTAAACCCTAAACCCTAAACCCTGAGCCTGGAGCTCCAAAGGGGCTTAAAAATGATATTTAACGAGGGCCTAAACCCTAACCATGATGACATGGGGTTTGCTTCACCTGTGTCGGGGCTGGCTGAAGGTAAAGGCTCGTTTGTCCTGCAGGCACACACCTCATTGCCTAAACCCTAAACCCTAAACCCTAAACGCTAAACCCTAGGCTCCTAGCCCCCAAACCCTCATCTCGGATTCCCCAATTCTAATATACGGATGCTGATATCCAGGGTCTAGGGTTTAGGGTTTAGGCGTTGCATACGCACAGTGCAGTTGGCAAAGGAACTCTGGAAAAGCTGCCTCCAGGCCGGGGTGCAGCTGAGACACTTCACAAACCCTAAACCCTGAATTCTAAACCCTAAACCCTAGCCCTAAACCCTAGATTTTAAACATCTGAGCTCTAAAATCGGAAGCAAAACGACTCGACGAGCAGCGGCTGCAGTCTCCCAAGAGCCCTCTGTGGAAATGAAGTAGAGGGCAGCCCCTCTCGGGCATTGCGCCGGAGGTCTAGGGTTTAGGGTTTAGGGTTTAGGGTTTACCCGTTCCACTTGTGGAGTAATAAATGCCCACAAGAAGGGAATAATCCATTAATCCATAAGTCACAAGAAAGTTGGCGTCTTTGCGCAGCAGCTCCAGCAGCCTCGCTGCCCTCTCTGGCCCTATGTCGATCTAAACCACAACAAACCCTAAACCCTAAACCCTAAACCCCAAACACTAAACTCTAACCTCGCAAAATGCAGTCAGTGAGAGTGGTGAGTGGCAAACATAAAGAGAGGGTTTAAAACACCAAAACGCAAAACCCTGCTTTTATACTGCAGCACTTCAATCCACAGGAAACGCCCAAAACCCTAGACCCTAAACCCTAAAACCCCAGCATGAAACCCTAGACCTTAAACCCTAGACCCCACGCATGAGATCCTAAACCATCAACTCCATGCATGGCATTCTCCGACCAAGCTCCCGGCATGAAACCCCAAACCCTAAACCCTAAACCCTAAACACCATGCATGTAACACTAAGCCCTAAACCCCAGGCCTCGGCCCATGCATGCACATGGCAAGCTCCTTTCTGCACCTCAAACCCTAAACCCTCATTTGGGATCCCACCACAAACCCTGTTCACTAGATCCGTAGCGACAATAAATAAATACTGCATCTTAAACCCCAAACCCTTCATCATAATTGTAAAAGTCTAAGCTCAACAGTTGGTACAAACGGCTTTTGGATTGCAAAACTGCAAACCCTAAACCCTAAACCCTAAACCCTAAGCCTCGGAAAGCGTGCCTTTTCTCCTTCACGCTCCAGGTCATTGTCTTTGAGAGCTATAGTTGGATCTCTGAAAAAAAAAAACGGAAGGAAACTGCATGCCTATACACCAACCCTAAACCCTCGGCCCTGAGCAAGGCTTCTGACTGCACAGCCTCAGCAGCGCTTTTGGGGTTTAGGGTTTAGGGTTTAGGGTTTAGGGTTTGGGCTCACACGCGGCTTTCCGGGGCTAGGGAACGTTTGTAAGTGGAACCCTTCAAGTCGTATCTGCGGTGTATAGGCACCGGGGTGTGAAATAGATTTTCCATTACCAAAAAATATGTTTTGTGACGCATGCGATCTGTAAACACACCCTAAACCCTAAACGCTAAACCCTAAACCTCAAACCCTAAACCCTCGTGGTACGCTTACGTCTCCGAACTTGCATCTAGGACATCTGCAGATGCAATTTGGAGTCGCTGCGTAAACCCTCTGAATTCAAAGAGCAAACCTGAGGCCCTAAAACCCCCAAACCCTACGCTTTAAACCCTAAACCCTAAACCCTAAACCCTAAACCCTTACTTCCTGCAGAGCTGAGTTTGCCGTGGCTGGGAAAGATGTGCTTGATTGCATGCAGCCCCAAAAACCTGGACAAGAGGCTTTCAGGGTTTTTGACAAAGTGGGCGACGTAGGCAGGTTAAGATGCGACGGAGGCCTTTGGCTGCTTCTCGCGAGACCTGCACAAACCCTAAACCCTAAACCCTAAACTCTAAACCCTAAACTCTCAATCTACGCCGGCTGCCACGGAACCTCTGCCTTTCTCCAAACCCTCACCACAAGCCCTAAACACTGAACCCTAAACCCTAGACCCTAGACCTTACAGCTACGCCAGTATGCCAGAATCCAAAGCCTCGTCGCCAGCCCCTCACCACAAACCCTAAACCCTAAACCCTAAACCCTCGTACGTACCGTTTTGATTATAAATTTGCCGTCTGCGGTGTAGTAGAAGACGGCTCCGCTCTTTCCTTCGGAGACGAGCTCGCAAAGAGAGGAGAGACTCCCTGTTGAGTAAAATAAAATCAGCAGCAGCAGCAGCAGCAGCAGCAGCAGCAGCAGCAGCAACAGCAGCAGCAACAAGCACGACCAAGAACTGGGTGCCGAGCTGCTTGAGCCAATGCAGTGTAGAAGTGCTACTTTCACAAACCCTAAACTGCGCAAACCGCCCTTGCACTCAGGTATGGAGCCCCAAACCCCAAACCCTAAACCCTAAACCCTAAACCCTAAACCCTAAACCCTAAACCCTAAAGGGATGTCGCGCCGAATGGGTTTTCGTACAAACTCTGCTGGACGAGACCGGGTTACCTCACATACATGTGGCAGAACAGATAAAATTTGTAACGGGCGAGGTGGCGAAACACCATGGGGGAGTAATCCGTGAAGCGCACTGCCGTCTGAAGCACAAACCCTAAACCCTAAACCCTAAACCCTAGACCCTAAACCCTAAACCCTAAACCCTAAAGCGTAAGTTCTAAACCCTAAACCCTAGACTCTAAACTCGAAAGGCTAGCAGCTCTCCGCCAGCGTTAAAGCCCGTTGGCATTTTAGCCCGGCGCTGCGTCCGCTTGTGTCCCCAAACCCTAAACCCTAAACCCTCGCTTCATAGGGCTTGAGCAGTGGAATTGACAACCCCCAACCCCCCAACCCTAAACCCTAAACCCTCACATCACAGGGCTTGCGCAAACGGCACCCCCGCCCGGCACTCCCCAAACCCTAAACCCTAAACCCTCGCCTCAGGGGGCTTCCGCCTGCACAGCGGAGGCTGCAGCGGCGGCCGCGCGCGCAAGCCGCAAACCCTAAACCCCAAACCCTAAACCCTAAACCCTCGCCTCACGGGGCGCAGGGCGCTTGCGCTGTCGAGGGCGGAGGAGTTGGAGAGAAGTCGGAACTTCTCTTTGTAGTTGTAGTCGTAGGGTTTTAAAGATCTCTCAGGAGCAACAGCAACTCGAACTCCTGCTAATCTCATTCCCAACATTACATTTAAAGCAACATTCCAAGAGTGGTGTCCGAAGTAAACCGCCAGCCCTTTCGTCGGCTGCCCCGTCATGCTGCGCGCGCCAAACCCTAAACCCTAGCTCCAAACCCTAAACCCTAAACCCTCCCCCGCCGCCAGCGCCCGCACAAAACGCAGCGCCCAAACACGCGCAGCCAAGGCGGCGCTGCAACAGCAGCCCATACGGCTCAGCAGCAGCAGCAGCAGCAGCAGCAGCGACACCAGCAGCAGCAGCAGCAGCCCACGCAGCCTGCTGGTGCTGCAGCTTGCTGCGCGGCGTTGAGGGTTTAGAGCCTTAGGGAGGGTTTAGGGTTTAGGGTTTAGGGTTTAGACACTTGTTGTTCTCGGCGGAAGCCTTCGAACCGTTCATTACGGACGCCGTCCACTTCAAACCTGCAGCAAATTGCAGCGCCAACAGACCTCCACAGCGGTTGCTGCTGCTGCTGCTGCTGCTGCTGCTTGTGCTGCTGCTGCTGCTCCAGATGCGCAGCTCGCTCACAAAAATAGGGCAAGTAGCAGCAACAGCAGCAGCGGGGGGGAAGCCCCGCATATAGCAGCGGCAACAATAGCAGCGAGACTGCGAGTACCAGTGACAACAGCAGCAGCAGCAACAACAAAAGAAATAGCAGCAGCAGCAGCAGCAGCAGTAGCAGCAGCAGTAACAGCAGCACAAGCATATTCTAGAAGCAAGCAAATGCCCGAAGACAAGAAAGAAAGGAGCAGGGGCTTCTGCAGTATGGAGCATCGGCATGCAGCAGCAGCAGCAGCAGCAAGAACAGCAACAGCAGCTGTAGCAGCAGCTGCAACAGCAGCTGCAACAGCAGCTGCAGCAGCAGCTGCAACAGCAGCTGCAGCAGCAGCTGCAACAGCAACTGCAGCAGCAGCTGCAACAGCAGCTGCAGCAGCAGCTGCAACAGCAGCTGCAGCAGCAGCTGCAACAGCAGCTGCAGCAGCAGCCGTCCCTTCAAGTTTGAGCCTTCCGTTCTACAACACCAA